CAAAGATCTACTGAATGAGTGTGTTGGGCTGAAAACACTGAGGAGTCCTATGGAGTACAAGATTAAGGGCAGACTTTCTGTACATGAAAGGGCCAAAAATGTATTGATGCCTTTGACTTTGTGGCTTTTCTTACTGTGAACTTAAGAGTAAATCAAATGTCACCGTGAAAAGGATGAATTTTCCTTCTATTTTGGTTTACCACATGCATTAGCGGGACATCTGTGTGTGTGTACAGTGAGCCAAGTATAGGTCCAAGCTTCAGGGCAAAGGGGTGGGGCATGATGAGGCAAGGGAAATACAAAATAGTTGAGGACAATGGGCAGGGAGTCTGTGGGTGTCCTGAGGGAGATAGGGTGCAGTGAGGGAAAGCCCTCCACTCTGCTCATCTATCTATGAAAGTTCTAGAAAAGAGGTAGCCTTTCCAAGGCAGATACCATGAGAGAGGACAGGTGGTTTGGTGGGCTGGGGTATAAGCATTTTTCAGGCAGAGTTTATATTTATTTATATATGTCTTATTGAATAAAATTTTGAAGTCAGAAAAATAAGTGTGTACAGAAGGACCTATGGGCAGATGATGATAATTATAATAATAGGAGAAGATATAATAGTTATTTGGTGCTTCCTGTTATAGGCACTTTATTTGTATTAGCTTGTTTGACTCTCAACCCCAGGCCTTTGATGTAGAAACTGTTATTATCCCTGTTTGACAGATAGGTGAACCGAGGTTCAGAGTGACTAAGGTAGCTTGCCCAGGTCACTCAGCCTAGGAGGTACCAGAGTTGGGATTTGAGTCAGGCAGCTTGGTTCCAGAGGCTTGTTCAGGAGGAACGGGGAATGTGGGCCGTGATGGTGAGGTGTCAGGGAGGGCGTGCTGGTGAGGCTGGGCTCGACACATGCAGGGACTCGCAAGCACAGTAGAGCTTGAGTACTGGCCATCAGGCCACAGGTGGTCAGCCGAGATCCTGGGCTGGGATGGCACTGGGGGGCAGACCCTGTGTTTTAAACAGGAGAAGGCAGGGCGCCTGGGTGGCTCAGTTGGTTAAGCGACTGCCTTCGGCTCAGGTCATGATCCTGGAGTCCCGGGATCGAGTCCCACATCGGGCTCCCTGCTCAGCGAGGAGCCTGCTTCTCCCTCTGACCCTCTTCCCTCTCGTGCTCTCTATCTCTCATTCTCTCTCTCTCTGAAATAAATAAATAAAATCTTTAAAAAAAAAAAAATAAACAGGAGAAGGCTGGACTAGGCAACAGAGGTCAGGACTGTTGAGGAGCCGGGGAGGATGGCTGTAGCCCAGGACGTTTGTGTTTGTATGTGATGTGATTCCTGAATGTTCTATTTATTTTTTATATTTTAAATTCTTCTTTTTTTTAGGATTTAATTTTTTAAAGATTTATTTATTTATTTAAGAGGGGGAGAGAGACAGACAGTGTGAGCAGGGGAGGGTCAGAGGGAGAGGGAGAGAATCTCCAGCAGACTCCCCGCTGAGTGCAGAGCCTAATGCAGAACTCAATCCCATGACCCCGAGATGATGACCTGAGCCAAAATCAAGAGTTAGATGCTTGACCAACTGAGCCATGCAGGCACACCCTAAAGATTTAATTTTAATTAAAAAAAAAAATATATATATATATGTATATGTATATATATATCTATTTTTTAAAGTAACCTCTACACCCAACATGGGGCTCGAACTTTAAACCCTGAGATCAAGAGTTGCATGCTTTACTGACTGAGCCAGCCAGGTGCCCCTACTCTTGAATGTTTTAGAGCTGAAGGTCTGAGAGGTCTCAAAAGAACTTTAGCAAAAGGAGGGATGTAGAAACAATCCCCAAATTCATATGCTGTGATTTCTTTTTTGGTGGCCCTTTATTTCAGACAATAGTATTCAGTTTAATTAGAAGCTATTCTTTATTTGGGTCGTGTCATAGGTTGGATTCTAAGGAAGCTGACTCTGAGATGTCAGTTACTGTACCAAGACATTTATTAGGGAGTGCTCTTGGGGTCCACGTCTAGGGAAGGGCAGGGAGGGGGAAAGGAGTAGGAGGCGATGGAGGGAGAAGTTGAGTTGCATTGTAGCCTCAGCCTATTCCCCAGGGGGGCTTTGGGGCGGGAGTAGCCTTTCTGTGTTGTCCCAAGTTGGGGGTTGGGGCATTCGGGCAGTAGAGCTGGGGCTCCCTGGAGCTGCCTTCCTCCTCTCATTCGTTGGTGAGGCAGTAGATACCAGCTGCCCCTGCCCCGTGTGGAAGGCATGCCCCTCTGCCTGTCCTCAAAAGGGCTGATAGCTTAGGGCCTCCATCTGGCAGAAGTCCCAGCAGCTGGAAAACAAGTCCTTCATTCCTGAAGGGAGGTCAGGCTCGAGCATCACACTGCACATCACAGGTAGCAAGTTGTAAAATTTGAGGATCTTAAAAAAACCGAGTTCCCATCATCAAAGCAGAGAAAGCTGACTGGGGCAAAAATCAAAGCATTTCATTATCAGCTTTCATTTCATTCCCAATAACAGCTGAGTAAGAGATGTAACTAAGTGAGGGCTATTTGATTTAATTTCTTATCGGTTATTACGTTTGGTTATAAATTTGACATTAAAATGTAATGCCAAATATACAGATACAATGTATTAGAAATAATTCACAGGTAAAATGGACCTGACTTTTGAAAGAACGACATTTAGGGGCGCCTGGGTGGCTCAGTTGGTTAAGGGACTGCCTTCGGCTCAGGTCATGATCCCGGAGTCCTGGGATTGAGTCCCACATCGGGATTCCTGGCTCAGCGAGGAGGCTGCTTCTCCCTCTGACCCTCTCCCCTCTCATGCTGTTTCTCTCTCTCTCTCTCTCTCTCAAATAAATAAATAAAATCTTTAAAAATAAATAAATAAAAGAATGACATTTATTACATAGTCTTTCCCCCATTAAGTCATGGTTTTTCTGAGAAACAGCATGGCTTATAAAAGTATGGTATGAAAAGGGGAAAAGGGGCACCTAGGTGGCTCAGGCAGTTAAGCGTTAGACTCTTGGTTTCAGCTCGGGTCATGACCTCAGGGTCGTGAGATCGAGCCCCACATCAGGCTCCCAGCTCAGCTTGGAGTTTGCTTGTCCATTCCTGTCTGCTCCTTCCCCCAGCTCTCACTCTCTCTCTCATAAATAAAAAATAAAAATAAATCTTTAAAAAACAAGATAAAAAAGGGAAAAAAGAGGGTGTAAGGGGAGGCTGTGTGCTAATCTGAGCTCTGCTATTTCATAGCTATGAAAACATGGGCTAGACACTTAATTTTCTCATATGTAAAATGGGAGAGAGAATATTTATCTGGACTAATTTACAGTGTTGTGTCAAATTGAGATAAATGTGTAAAAGTACTTTTAAAATTTAATTTAATTTAATTTATTTATTTTTAAAGATTTTATTTATTTATTTGTTAGAGAGAGCGCACAAGCAGGCAGAGGGAGTAGATTCCTTGCTGAGCAGGGAACCCGACGCGGGTGGGGCTCAATCCCCGGACCCTGGGATCATGACCTGAGCCAAAGGCAGATGCTTAACCAACTGAGCTACCAGGTGCCCCAGTATAAAAGTACTCTTTAAATACTAATGCCAACACAAAAACAAAAACTCTCAAGGACTTTAGAGAATATCAAGTTCAAACCTTTCATGTTTCAGATGAGAAAAGGGAGCCTCAAGACCATATTCAGTTATGTGAGTTAATTACATAAAGCAAAAATGTGCTTGCATTAATCTAAGGAAGACGGAACTCTTAGAAAGATAAAGAAAGCACACTTGGTGAATTTGAGCGTGGAAAACACGAATGGGGGTGATTGTGCAAGTGCAGGTTTGCAGCGGAGTCTGGATCTCCCAGGGTCCCGTCACTGGTGCTTACTGTCGAATGCTGGATCCTCCTGCCCACCCAGCGCTGCCCTCAGTTAGTTAGCCCTGCCTCCCCTCACCCAGCTCTTCACCCCCAATACCCACCACCTCTTCCTTTCCTTTTCCACTGGGCAGGGGGAGATTCTTGGGAGAGGATCTAGGCCCGTTCTGGCTAGAGCCAGGGCTCCCTCTCAGACCCAGCTGTGTGATCTTAGGCACAGTTCTTTCCTTCTCATTGGCTTGGTTCCTCATGTAAAACTGGGGTAATGACGCTTGGCCTGCTGATCTGTCAGGCTTGTTTCAAGGATCAAACGACCTAATGTATGTGAAAACACTTTAAAAAACACAAAATGCCCTACAAATGTCGAGTGTTGTTATTATCCTCATAATTGCTCCTCCCCTGCCTCCTCGCCTCCCTCCCTGCTTCCTCGGCCTCCCTCCCTGCCTCCCTGGCCTCCCTCCCTGTCTCCTCGCCTCCCTCCCTGCCTCCCTGGCCTCCAGCTTTGCTGGCTTCCTGCCAGGAGTGTCTGACAAGTGGTTGCAATTAATTTGTTGAGAAGCTTTCTCTGAACCATGAAATGTCATTTGGGAAGCTGTTCTTGGACTAGTAGGAATCTAATTAGATTATTGGGAGTTGCAGGGGCACCTGGGCGGCTCAGTAGGTGAAGCGTCTGCCTTCAGCTCAGGTCATGATCCCGGGGTCCTGGGATCGAGTCCCGCATCAGGCTCCCTGCTCAGCGGGGAGCCTGCTTCTCCCTCTTTCTCTGCCGCTCCCCCTGCTTGTGCTTGGTCTCTCTCTCTCTCTCTCAAATCAATCAATAAATAAAATCTTTAAAAAAATTAAAAATTTTAAAAAAATTATTGGGAGTTGCAGAGGGAAACATAAAAAATGAAAGAAATTACATTTGAAAGAAATATTTTATTTTATTTCCGTTGATAATGGAAGTATTGGCCTGCAATTGTGGCAGAAAGCATTTAAAGAAAATATTTAAGATATTGGTGAGGGGGTCTGAGACCCAGGAGGACCTCGGATCTCCTGAATCTCTTCACCTTGGAGAAGGCGTGGGAGGAGCCCAGCCTCAGGCGCTCCATCAGCGGGAATGCTCTTCTGTCCCCTCCTGATGGGTCCGCCTCTGTCCTCCTCAGGCTCCCTGGCGTTGGGCAAAGGCTCAGTGTACACTTCGGAACCTGAAGTCCGAGTTGCTGAGAACAAACGTGAGTGCTGGGCAGCTGTTGGGGGGGGTGTCTGGGGCTGGCGGGAGCAGGTGCAGGCCCCCTGGGGACTTGGAGAGCGTCCAGCACAGACTGCTGTTGGGGGCCACTTCCCCTTTCCCGTTTGCTGCTGCACCTTCCCCCGGTTTCTTTCTGTCCTGTCTGCAGCTGCCAAGTTGTCCTGCTCCTACTCCAGCTTCTCCTCTCCCCGTGTGGAGTGGAAGTTTGCCCAAGGTGACATCACCAGCCTTGTTTGCTATAACAACAAGATCACGGGTGAGTTGCTCCCTACCTTCCTGATGGCCTAGGTTGTGGAGGGATGGCTGGGCCTGGACTCCAGCGGAGAGGTGCAGCCTGGGGCTCCGGTCCTGTGGACCTCCCGTGGCTTCTCCTGCCACCATCCCCAGCTTCTCTTAGGCCCCAGCTCATTCAGCCCCTCCTCCTTCTCTCCTGGTAGCTTCCTATGAGGACCGAGTTACCTTCTCACATAGTGGCATCACTTTCCACTCTGTGACCCGGAAAGACACGGGGATGTATACGTGTATGGTCTCTGAGGAAGGCGGCAACACCTATGGGGAGGTCACCGTCAAGCTCATTGTGCTTGGTATGTGCTATACTTTTTCTGTGTGGTCTTGGCATTCATTGCTTCCCTAAACCCTCACAGGCTCTGCTAAGCTTTGGAGCTCACTGATGGTGAGAACACTCATGGGTGGGGGGATTCAGAGTCACGGTGCCGGCAGAGAGGGGATGCGCCCCTGGGTCGGGGGAAGCTGAGGGCGTGGTGAAGGGTAGAGGCTAGAGCTGATGGATGGCACTGTCAGCAACTTAGCCTCTAGGCAGCGCTCTCTGACCTTGTGCTCAGCCCCTTCTGTCCCTTCACAGTGCCTCCATCCAAGCCTACGGTCAGCATCCCCTCCTCTGCCACCATCGGGAGTCGGGCAGTGCTGACCTGCTCCGAGAAAGACGGCTCTCCCCCTTCTGAATTCTACTGGTTCAAGGACGGGGTCCTGATGCCTACAGAGCCCAAGAGCAACCGTGCCTTCAGCAACTCTTCCTATAGCCTGAATCACAAGACAGGGGAGCTGGTAGGGATGGGGTAGCAAGGAAAGGTGTGGGGGGCACAGTTATAGAACCCTTCAAGGTGGGGAAGAAGAACAGCAACAAGGTGAACTTGGCATCAGGGTCAGGAGACAAAAGATGGGTACTTGGACACTTACCAGGATGAGCACTGCATAATATATAGAACTGTTGAATCACTGTGTTGTACACCTGAGAGTAACGTAATATTATATGTCAACTCTAGTGCAATTAAAAAACAAAAATAGGGGGCGCCTGGCTGACTCAGTCGGTGGAGCGTGCGACCCTTGGTCTCAGGGTTGTGAGTTCAAGCTCCATGTTGGGTGTAGAACTTACTTAAAAAACAAAAAACAAAACAAAACAAAAAAAAACAAGAATAGGTACTTGGCTTTTTCAGGCAGGAAGCCAACTGTTTTCTTCCCTCCAGGTCTTCGATCCCGTGTCAGCCTCTGATACTGGAAAATACACTTGTCAGGCACAGAATGGGTATGGGACCCCCATGAGGTCAGATGCTGTGCACATGGAAGCTGGTGAGCAAGGGTGTATGGAACAGGGGCTCGAGCTCAGGCCTGGGGTGGGGTTTGGGGTCTGCTTTGCATCCTGGCTTTGGTGACAGTGTCAGCGGTGTGCGTGAGCCTTCAGGGCACTGACCTCTCGTTTGTGTCTCCTATAGCGGAGTTGAATGTGGGGGGCATCGTGGCAGCTGTGCTCGTCACACTCATTCTCCTTGGATTCTTGATTTTGGGCATCTGGTTCGCCTATAGACGAGGCTACTTTGACAGTGAGTATTGGCCCTCAAAGGCTGTCCTTTTTATCGTCCCCCTTTCAGGTCATGGTTCTTGGGTGCCATGTGAGTACTGACCTGATAGTGAGCCCACAGGTGCGGGGTTATCTCCCGGGTGAGCACCACCTACCTGCTGCATGCTGTCCCCCACCCCTCTGTGCCCAGCTCTCTTCTGTCCTGCTCACAGTCACGGTCCCGGTTCTTCTCTTTTAGGAACAAAGAAAGGGTGAGTGAGGAGCTGTCCTGGGGATCTCTGAGGCGGAAAACATGGATGCCTGTGGTTTGAAGCTGAGATGGGCCCAGGGGAAGGGGTTGGAGGGGGAGGCAGCCCTGGTTGGGCGGACGTCCGGGTTCCTACCTCTCCCTGTTCCTTGTGGCCTTGGATTTGTCCTATCTCCCTCCACCCACGCGTCCCTGCTGAGAACTCACTCTGTGCTTCTGTAAAGCTCTCAGCCCCACCTCTAGAGCCGGCAAGCAGGGGCTGAGGCGAGCACTAGGCGACTGAGCATCTCTGTCTTCTGACTTGTCTGCAGGACCTCGAGCAAGAAGGTGATTTACAGCCAGCCCGCTGCTCGCAGTGAAGTGAGTGTGCTACCCTGGGACGAGGCGGGGGGGGCTTCTAGCCTGTGTCTACAGGTATGGGAGATGATCGGCTAAAGAAGAGGATAGAGTTGATTGGGGCATTTTTATTTCCCCAGGGGGATTTCAGGCAGACCTCGTCATTCCTGGTGTGACCCAGGTCCGGCTCATATGCTGTCCTCTGCGCTTGCCTTACGCCGGTGCTACCAGACTCTGGCCCGTGATGGCTGTACTTCCACAGGATGCCTTATGTGTCTCCTAGCCCCCACAGGGGTCCCCACTTTGATTTTAGTTAGGATGTGCTGTTGTGTTTTTTTTATAACATCGGCTCTGTACCCCTTCATCCTGCATCCCTCCCCTCCTTTCCCACCACTGCCGAGTGGCCAGGGACTTGTTTAAAGCTTTCCTTCCCCATCCCTATGAGGGATCAGGCAGGAGTCCTGATTGACGCCCGTTGACTTCCTTCCAAGTAGGTGACAACAGCGGCAGGCATTATGCCCCCTGTGTGTCGTGGCCCACTAGTAGTGATCTTGAGCTTCTCCCTCGGCCCTTTCCTCCCATGCTAAGGAGGTATCGGCTGTTTCAGAGTGGGGACTGGAGACCAAGCAGCTGAAAAGGTTGTTTGGTGACAACACCAAGTCTCTCCTGCCTCTGCAGCCCACTTAGTTCTGTCTCCCCGTGGGAAGTGCCACTGGGATCCTCTTACACCGTCCTAAACACAAGAAGACCGACACCAGCTGTGTCTGTAGGAAAACCCGGGCGCTTTGGTTATGGAGAGCATAGTGAGCTTTCATGGGACACGGAGCAGAAGACTTTTAAAACCACTGATCTAAAGAAAAGGAAGCTGGAACTGGTAGCCATCACCCTTGGCTGGAGCAACTGGATGGACGCTATTGAGATGTCTGCAGGGCTGTGGGAACTTGTGTAGTAGTCTTAGCTCTTTGCTGAGCGCGCGCGCGTGTGTGTGTGTGTGTGTGTGTGTGTGTGTGTGTGTGTGTGTGAGCTCCGCTGAAACCAGTGTGTGTTGGAGGGCTTCTTAGCTCTTCAGTGAGATTTTGTTGGTGTGTGTTTGTATGTAGCTGGATGTTGCTGGAAATAAAAACTTGGTTTGTCAAAGCTTCTCGTTGTGGGAAGTGGGGCAAAAGAGATTCCTGGGCTCCTTTGTACAAACAGGAAGCTGCCTGAGGCCCCATTTCCCTGAACCTGGGTTGGTCCCGGCTCCCTGTCCCACCCCTTCCTGGTTCCTGTCTCAAGGTGGAGCGCCTGAGCATTGGACCCTCATTCTATAGAGCCCTCTCGTGGCAGGAAGAGAGCCTTCCGGAGGAGTGCCGACCCCCTCCCCCTGACCGAAGCTGAGGCTGTGCTCTGGGGTTCTGCTTGGCCTGATCCACCAAGTGAGAGGAGAAAGCGCCCACTCTCCCACCTCTGCCGACCAGATGCATTAATAGACTTCTCTAAGGTTGTGGGAAAACTGCTCTGGAGCCTGAGGCAGGGGGGTTCCTCAAACCCTTTGGAGAACTCCTTCAGTAGTAGTTGAAAGTAGGAATTACTACTTTATTTAAGTGGGGTAGGGGTAGAGGGGCGTGCTGTTTAAGGAAAAGACAGTTTGAGACCGGGCTGTGAAGCTGTCTGCATGGGAGTGAGCAGCAGTAAGCAAGGTGGGCCTGCCTTTCATTGCTTTCCTCTGTCTCTCTGGACCCTTTTTTGCCTCTAGGTTTCTGTTTCCCCATCTACCACGGTCCCCCAGTCTATTTATTAACTAGTAAGAGGGCAAATAGGGGGTTTTCTAGGGCTGATTTTGCTTATTTCTTTCTGTGGAGGATGCTGAGCCCCACTTTGCCATGTTTTATTCCCTTATCTGGAAATCCCTAACAGAATTGTTTTATCAAGAATCCAAAAGGAAAAACAAAGCCAACCAAACCATCAGTTAAGGGTCATGCACCAATAAAAAAAATAAACATTCCAGATGGAAATAATGAAACAATAAAAGTAGAGATTATGAAACGGTTCACTAAGAATGAGATTTTAAAAGTATGTTTCAGCTTTGTATCCTACTTGGGAGATGGGGTGGGAGGGACGTAGAGAAAACACCATAAGGAAGCAGAGGTGATTCATTGTTCAAGTCTGAGGTGAATGGTTCCTCACTCTCTCAGTCACTTGTGGTGAGTAGGAGGCATTTATTACCAGCCTTGGAATTTACCACAGCCCCTTTGAGTTGGAAAACACCTTGTCTGTTTTCATTTTGAAATGTCAAAACTCATTTTTGTAATAAATGTTTATTTTTCACATTGAGTTTGTTTAAATCCTTAAGGTCTGTGTTAAAAGAAGAGGGACTTCCAGAGTGACTTGGATATTCAAAATCTTCTTTATAGTCTTATTAAGAGTTTTGAGGTATCCTTCCACAGAGCCTGATATTCCTTAAACTTACCGTTGGCCTGTTCCTGAATGGGGCTGATGCAAATGGACATTTCTTACATTGAATTAACACTTGGGGGGAAGCAATTCTATGGGGACAGGAACCCAGTGTGATTGGGGATAAAATGATGGTCAAGGATGTGTTGGTTTTTTTTTTAAAGATTTTTTTATATTTGACAGCACAAGCAGGGGGAGTGGCAGGCTCCCACTGAGCAAGGAGCCTGACACAGGGCTCCATCCCAGGACCCTGGGATCATGACCTGAGCCGAAGGCAGATGCTTCACTGACTGAGCCACCCAGGCGCCCCAGGATGTGTTCTGTCTTAACAGATTCTACAGATGGGGGAACCTGGCTGGCTCAGTTGGTGGAGCATGCAACTCTTGATCTTGAGGTTGTGGTTTTGAGCCCCATGTTGGGTGTAAAGATTACTTAAAATCTTCAAAAATGGGGCGCCTGGGTGGCTCAGTCGGTTAAGCAACTGCCTTCAGCTCAGGTCATGATCCCAGGGTCCTGGGATCGAGCCCCGCATCGGGCTCCCTGCTCAGCGGGAAGCCTGCTTCTCCCTCTCCCACTCCCCCTGCTTGTGTTCCCTTTCTCGCTGTCTCTGTCAAATAAATAAATAAATAAAATCTTTAAAAAAAAAAAATCTTCAAAAAAAAAATAGGGGTACCTGGGTGGCTCAGTTAAGTGACCTATTCTCGATATCGGTTCAGGTCTTGCTCTCAGGATCCTGAGTTCAAGCCCTGTGTTGGGCTCCACGCTGGGCGTGGATCTTACTTAAACCAAAAAACAAAAACCCACAACATAATCTACAGATCAAGGATGAGGGAAGGGAATAGGTTTGGTCCATTTCTGAATGAAGGGACAAGTATGTTTTACGGGGGCATGGGGACAACTGAAGGGGAATAAATGAAAATGCAACTTTAAGGGAAAAAAGCTCTAATTCTGTAGCTCCTCTGATTTAGTACCCCTTTGGTATTAGCTGTGAAAATTTAATGCAATGGAAAAAAATTTTTTTGGAGGGGTAACTTGTTGAATGATGATTATCATCCATTAATTTATTTGTAGGGTATTATTAATTTCCCTATTCCATAGGTGGGGAAAAAGCGGCACAAATGTTAGTAACTTACCCAAATTCACAACTAGTACTAGGCAAGTGGAAGGTCTGGGATTCAAGACAACTGGGAGAGAAGTTTCCTGAATGGGAAAGAATGCAGAAAGAGGAGGAGGAGCTGAAACAAGTTCACTTTCTTTTTAGAAGTGGCTGTGTGAGTGTTAGGAGAGGACATTGAAAGTAACGATGTCCACCTGGGTTTCCCCTCCCAACTGTGACTGTCAAGTCTTGAGTCTGCCATCCCAACAGGATCTACAGGACAGAGTGGCCTATGAGTGCCACCTTCTGGAATGAAGGATAAAGCCACTGCATGTTGCCAGTGACAGGTGAGAATCAGAAGGCATACATATATTTGTGGATGGCAAAGAGAAGAGCAACATCATCAGCTTGCAGAATGAGAATTCAAAAACATCTCAATAGAGCAAACATGGTTACCAGAGGGGCTGGG